GTATTCGTGAAGATGTGGAACAGCAGCCATTTATTGCACGTTTTCTACTGAAACATTCTGTAATAGGCAATTCAATTACACATAGTAATTATAATATGCAATTCTTATACAGATGAGATATCTCAAAGCTGTTAATATCTATTCACCTGACCTCCAGATGACCTATCCAATGTTGAGGCCATAACATCCGTCAACATGAATGTATTATATAACCAATATTGACAAAAACAAACATCGTACAAAAGGAATATTAAGCCATAACATTATTGTAAAGAAATTTAAAATAAAAGATATTGCTTTTATGCACAAGAGCGGGCATTTGTTTGACCTATCAAAGGTGAATCAAACATTAAATATTTATAAATACAAATGTGCGACATATAATTAGTTGAATTAGTAAAACAGAATTAGTCACAGCTGCCAAACGCGCACTGTAATCTTTCAAAGTAAGATGTATTAGCAGTAGAGTATATGTATCACCTCTAAATTTCTCACAAGCATTCCCGTTTCTGTACAAAATAGTTGTGACTGTGATTTGTTGATGGATGAATTAATTAGAAAACATTCCTTTCATGTTAAATTGAAGCAACCCGTGTCTATGTAGGTAACATCATAGCCAGGGAGTTGTTCTCGACCACGCTCTCACACAACCCATGTGTCCCGTGGTGTTTCCCATTCTTGTACTTTTTCTCTCATTATGTTGTCTTCGTTTTCTCTTTTTGCACCATTCTTATTGTTATTGGTTGACCAATTCCCAAGACTAGACTCAACACTGGATGTTTTCCAATCCTGGCGAGGTCTCGTGAGTAGCGCCCTCCGCGGTGCCCCAAACCCGACACTTGCCTATGAGAACGATGTTGTTTTTCACTTCCCCCGACGATTTTTTGTCGGTACTAATCAAGTAATTAAAACAGAATTAGTCACAGCTGCCAAACTCTCACTGTGATTTTTCAAAGTACGACGTATAAGCAGTGGAATATATGTATCACCTCTAAATTTCTCACAAGCTATTCCAGCTGACATTTGAACTTATGCATTCCCGTTTGTGAATTATTTAAAAATATTATTTTCTCGAGAGAAAACACAAGTAATAATTTAATTGAGATTTGTACTTTCCTCGCCAGTTACTATTTAAGCATGTTTTTAGAAAGCTGAGATATAGCAGAATGCGATCATGTTAAAATGTGTTTCGTGTTATTTTTTTCAGGGGATTAAGTTACGATCGCTCCCGTGAACCTCCTAAACATAGAGCTTTTTGCGGAATTGTTCGTTTCTAGATTTCTTTTTTTCTATTTTTCTGGTCTTTCTCTGTTGTTTTATGAAGATAATGATCTTTTAAATGACGTCTCGGAATTTGTATGTGTCTCATAGTCCGTTGAACTTTATGAACTAAATTTCATGAAAGTCTCCATGTTCTCGTGGCATATTTAAGCTCATTTTGTGGCGAATAAATTGTGTAATTTATACATCGTTAGTGTAAAGAAAAGTGTTAAAAGATGAGATCTTCATTAGTTATGATAGTCAAAATTTAGTTTCCATAAAAACTGTTGTTGAACAATTGGTTCGTTGTTTCTTAAAAAGTTTCATTGAAAGTGGGTGCTAATTTGAACAAGATGGCGTACTGATCAATTAATTTATTCAAGTCCCTTTGTTATATTGAACAGCATCAACAGTACTATCGGTTCTCTAAACACAGGGTTGGCCATCATGACAGCATATATTTACTTACGGGATATACATGCCTTCAAGTACAGATATTTTTGCATTACTCTCAGCCTATGGAGAGTGTTCCGTTATTGGACTTGTTATATCCAATTAGCTCCAAGTCTGCACTGTTTTTTCCTCCCGACGAAAAAACGAAATATGGCGTTGACCATGCTCACAGAGAACCACGAGCTGGAAGGTGTTAAAGAGTGG